TGGAGCATAATGCTATTTGTTCTCTGTCCGTTAAGACCATAACACAAGAATGCTTGGTCCTGTGGTAAAGTATTCATTGAATAGATGAAAACGTCCTTCTTGGTAATGTTTCTTCCATTCATCTTCTAGGCTGTTGGAGAGATCTTTGTCTTTAAAATCTTTTCCTAGAAGTTGAAGGATTATCCAGCAATTTTTGTCTTGTTTGTAACTGTCTCTAATATCACTGAAGAATTCTTCATTGAGGTCTGTCACATTGATACCCATGATTGGGAGGCTAGATGGTAAGTTCTCTTGGTCATAGGCAGGATTATCTACATTGTTTGGTAATGGCCATCTACTTAGTCCATCTGCGTTTTTGTGTAAATTGCCTTCTTTATGGATAATGGTCATATTTCCTCTGTATTCTTGGATTGTAATTTGCCAGCGTAGCATATGCCTGTTAGGTGTTTTCATGTTTAATAGTGATTTAAGTGCTGTGCAGTCTGTGATGACCTGGAAAACACTTCCATCAAGGTAGTAGTGGAGCTTTTCCAGAGCCCAAACAAGACACAGACATTCAAGTTGGCTGGCGCCATATCTTCCCTCTGTATCTTTGAGCTGTCTAGATATGTAGCATACTGGTCCCTCATAAGGTTTATCATCAATAATTTGGACTTGGTGTAATGCTGCACCAAGTCCTTCCATTGAGGCGTCAACGTACAGTTTGAATGGTTTGTCAAACTGAGGCATAAGCAGTAGTGGTGCTGATGTAAGAGCAGTTCTCATGTCGGTATATGCTTGTACTCTCTCAGTTGTCATTTCAAAGGCTGCATCTTTGCTGGTGATGACGTATAGGGGTTTGGCAATTACTGAGAAGTTCTTGATATGTTGTCTGTAGTAACTTGCAAAGCCTAAGAAACTTTGCATTTCTTTCCTAGTCTGCGGTATAGGTTTAAGCATTACAGCTGCTACTTTGTTTTGGTCAATGGCTAGTGTAAGTCCTGATACAATGTGTCCTAGTGCTTTCAGCTCGTGAAAGCCAAAGTTACATTTCTTGAGTGATATTTTCATGTTAACTTCTACAACTTTTTGAAGAATTATTTGTAGTCTCTCAAGGTGTTGCTCCCAGTTATTGGAGAAAACAATAATATCATCTATGTAGATGATGAGCCATTGCTCGGATAATTCTTTAACGAAAATTGTGTTCATCATTCTTTGGTAATGTGATGGAGCATTTTTGATTCCAAACGGCATCCTCATGTATTCATATACGCTGCAATGTGCTATGATCCTAAGGAATTTTCTAGACCTTGGTGTGACTACATTTTGGTGGAAACCTTTCAATGCATCCATGCTAGTGATGTATTTGGCTTGTGATAAGCTGGTGAGTGTCTCATGGATGCGTGGGATAGGATACCTGTCCGGTATGGTGTATGTATTAAGGGCTCTGAAGTCTCCAACCATCCTTGATTTGTCATTATGCCAGGCTATAATAACTGGTGTGGTTATTTCTACTTCTTCATTATGACCAATTTTTCGGAGAACACCCAAGTCAATGAGTTCTTTAATATGTTTTTCCAATGCTTCTCTGGCTCTAGGACTGGCTGGGTAGGCTGGTCTTCTGAGAAGTGGAGGGTATGGTTTTTCAATATTCAAAGTAATTTCAACTTCATGTCCCTTAATTGCACCTAATGGTTCTTTGTCCGTGGCAAAGGCATTTTTATTATTAAATAGCACTTGGATGAGACATGCACGTTGGTTTTCATTGAGTTTTTCACTGATTTTGCAGTCTTTAAGTTGGTCATTCTCAAATTGGGAAATTTCTGGGTCTATTCTTCTAGTAACTGAATTGATGGACCTAGAGGCAAGAAATTGAAATTTTTTCCGTTGGTTTTCATGACCAATTGTGAAGAATCTTTCTTTGCTGTTGTGGATGTCAAATCCATAAAGATTGAGATAGTCTGTTCCTAGAATGAAATAATCATTTCTTCCATCTTCGAGAATTATAAATTCTACTTTAATTCTGACTGATCCTGATGGATGTGGTAGGAGAAGGCTTATTTCAATTATCCCTAGTGATTTCATTTGGCTGTTGCAGCTGTGGAGTGATAGTCCTGCTAGGGGTATGAGGCTGTCTTTCCAATTAGGCAAGAATTGTTCCAAATATTTTTTGGACACTACTGAGCAAAAGGCTCCTTGATCTAGTAACATTCTGCCTTCTTGTTTTTCACATATGACTAGAGTGACAGAGCTTGTGCCCGCTGTGTAGCCCTTTCCTTTTTCTGGTTTGGTTTTCACTAGTTTGGCATCAGTAACATGTGTAATGTCTTTGCTGTTGTGTGATATCTGCGGTAAGTGGGAAACTTGTTCTTCCTCAGATAAGTCATAGTCTGCCTCAATAGCGCCTATCTCAGCATCTGCAGACTCATAATCTTCTGCGTCATCTGGTAAAGATTCATCATCTTCTTTGTCTGATTTTTCATCTAATTCTTCTGTGTTACCTGATGTGTCTGGTTCAATTGCATTTATAGTGCGTTTATTCTTTGGGCACACATTGGCTAAATGATCTGGGCTGTCACACTTGTGGCATTTTCTGACATATGGTTTGTTATCTATTTTTGCCGGGATAGTTTTCTTTATGTCAGTCTTCCCGGGGGAATATTTTTTGTAAGATCTGCCAATCTTGGTACGTTCCACTATGTCTTCTAGTGCATTGATGATTTCTTCTGTGGAAGAATTTCTATTGGTCCTGCATTTAACTGCATGCTCTAGATCTCCTCCACATTTCTTGAGCATTCTCTCATGTAGGCCTGATGGACTCATTTCTGGAAAAATGGCTGAAAGGCGGTCTTTCTGCTTGGAGAACCATGTAAGTGGTTTGTTAATTTCTGGATCAAAGTGTGCTTTGTCAAAAGCTTCTTCCATCCTGAATCTCCATGCACCATTCCCCCATTTTATATGCATTTGTTCTTTCCACCAGGACCAAGTTTGTTTACCATGTTCTGCGCGCATCAAGTTGTACCATTTTTTGGCAGAATTATATAGTATGATACATAATTTTCCGGTGATAGCAATATCTTTAAGTTCAAAGTCTTCTTGAAACATATCAATGGTTTTAATAAATTCCACGTGGTTGTATTCTCCTTCACCACTGAATCTTGGCCAATCTTTGACTTTAGGTGCTTCTTTGGACATGTCAGATTGGGTGCTTCCAGCAGTGTGTTCCACTGGTGGTCTTGGGGATCCAAGATTTGGATGGGGTATCAATTGTGGTGAGAGACTTGTTGACCTTGTAGGAGCCTCTGTGTTTGAGGGAGGATAGATTTTTTCATTATTCAGTAGTGTATCTAATTTATTATTAATTGTACTATATTGGATGAGGAAGGAATTGTTCAATTCCTTAATTTTGTTGTCAACTAATTGTTGATGTTTTGCAAGGGAACTTTGATTATCTTGATGTTGAGATTTCAATATGTCAGTGTATTGTTCCATTTGCTGACAGATGGACAATAACAACTTGTGGTTTTCATCAATGTCAGAAATAATTGAGTCATATTTGTCTTGAATCTCAAGTGAAGGATCCTCTTGCTTATCCTCCAATGGTTTCTTGGTATTAATCTCAAGTCCTCTTATTTTATCTATAATAGTTCCTGTAAGATTTTCTAACACCTCAAATTTGTCAAATGATTTGGCAAAATTGTTATCAATTGTATAGGAAGTTTTATCAAGAATCTTTTTGTTTTCTTCTGTAACAGAAAAATTGGATCTTAATATTTCAGAAAAAATGGACATTGAGTTAGCTGTGGCTAAGGAGTTAGCTAAGTTTTTCTCAGTGGAAGCTGATAATAATCTGAATTCAGACATCAGATCGTTGCTTGAATAGATGATGTCAAGCTTTTCGTCAAAATTTAAAAAACGAGCGTAAATTTCATTAACGAGTGAGTCGTGGAGAGAGCTAAGGGTAGTAGTTACAAGCTGAAGATCTAATCTTTCTTGCGGCGCTTGGAGGCTTCCTCCTCTTTGTGCAACTCTTCTAATACTTGGGCTCTGGCCTGTTGCAAGGCTCTGGCCGCCGCCATCGTTTCTCGCCACGAGGTGTCGAGTTTCGGTATCTTGCCGAGCTTGTTGAGGTCCGTCTCGGCTGGTCTTTTCCCGCGTTGGTTGCTGGAGGAGGTGTAGCTCCCGGAGGGTCGAGATCCGCTGGCCGTTGGTTGCGAGCGGCCCTCTAGTTTCGCTAGGAGCTTGGCCGACTTCGCTTCTTTGAACGGGTTCCAACCGTTGTTGACCGACAGAGCGAACTGCCAGGTTAGCTTTTTCGATATGTTGCGGTAAGAGCGTTGGCACTCGGTCAGCGCTCGTGTGGCGTCCGCGTGTTGATTCGCTTTCTTGGCGGTCTCGTACATGTGATACTGTTGTCGATAAATCCTGCAGGCTTGGTCTTCGACCGCATTCAGTTCTGAAATTATCAGTGGTCAGTGTTTGATTAAAGATTTCTAACGAGTCGTCAGAAGAATAAACTGACTCATTGGTTCTATATCCATCGAAGGATCCGCTCCTTCGTTCGGGTCTAGATCCTCCGGTTGGTCAACGTCCATTGCGTCCGACGATTGGGATGGATTGGTCTTGGGGATTGGCGCTTGAGGGTGGTTGGGCACCGGTAGTTGGGTCGTTCTCGGCGGGTCTGCGATAGACGGCGCTGGGCGTCTTGATGGGGTTGACATCGGTATCACTACCGAGATAGCTTGTCTCTTCCTGGCCTTTTCTGATGATGGTTGGGTTGGGATGAGCTTCGTCGGTGGTTTTGCTGGGACGAATAATGCCGATGGCTTTGCGGTGTTTTCCTTCGTCGTCCTCTTGGGAGTCGTTGATACGGCTTTTTTCTTGGTTATTAATTTGAGAGGTTCCGGCGAGGTTGGTTTCGACGCTGGTTCGTTTTTCTTTGATTGAGGAGGGATTAAGTCCTTCGGCGGTGGGTTGATCTTGTCCGCCCCCAATGGGGTCGGCGTCGACTTGCGCGGTGCTTCGGGGTTTTCTTCCACGGACGCTCCTGGTCGTACTGGATCGTCGGCTGCTAGTTATGGAAGGAGTTTCCGAGTAAGTTCTTCCAGATCTGGTGGAGGGAGACATCCTAACAGGTTTGCTTACGTAATCCGCTGTCCGCAGCTAAGGTAACGCTTTCAAGTAAGTTATTAGCTTGATTGAATAATCCTTTGACCTCTGGGTTGAAGGGAGTAGGTTCTTCTTTGTTGGTATCGGTGGATACTTCAGAAAGGACTGAAGGGCTAGGAGCTTCAGTGGTAGGGGTCTGTGCTTCAAAGTTGCTCACTTTGAAAAAAAAAGGAAAAAAAATCGTGATTAATCTTAGTTTTTTAAGGATTTTTCAATGGGATTTTGTAAGAGAAAATAAAATGGAAAATAACCGTACTTTTTTATGGAAGTTTTTAGGTTAGTTTTATTTGTATTTTTAGTTGATTTTTGTGCAAAAAATTTGCTTTTTTCTAGATGAAAAAGGTTCTAAAAAATGAAAAAAGAAAATATGGTCTTTGGGTAAAAAACCGGATGAGGCCCCCAAATGTAAGGTCTGGATATGAAACTAGAAGGAAATTCTAGTACTATTCCTGTCCTAATAATTTTTGTTAGTAATTTTATATTAAATTTTAAGGTTTAAAGTGTATTTAAACTTACAAAAAGGGGGATTGTTGGTTAAACAATCAAAGAAATTATAACCTCACAATGTTACTTGTTAAGAGGCCTAGAGTTGAGTTTTAATCAATACTCTGAATTCCAAAGGAGGAATTGAGGAAGGGTGAATTGTTTGTTAGACAATAGATCACAAGGAGTTCGTCCAAAAAGGTCTTTTGGATGAGTTGAAGATTCCTGGGCAATTTCTAGAGCAATACTTCTGCAACAGAAAGTAAGAAAATGGCCAATTTTAAAGGAATAAGGAGCTGGGATCTTTTAAGGGCAAAGGCTACAGGTTAAGGCTGAAAGTAGCAATAAAAGAGGAGCTCTGTTTCGTGGTTGGAATGCTAAGGTTGATAAGAGAAATGGTTGGAAATGCTGGCTTCAAGTATATAGTAGTATATATGGTGAAGTGGGTGAATTTCTGAGGTTTAAGCACTCAGTAAAGGAGTCCTTATATAGCCACACACCTGAGGGTGGCTTGCAGTGCATTTTTGCACGATGACACTGATGCTTTGGGCTTGTTTGGCTGGGTGTAAGCCATGCCCAAAGCCTTGGTTATCAGTATCCCAAAGGCTGAAACAGTTGTAACTGTAACCACGGGTACAGCTACCCAGTCAGGAAGTAATGATGCAATGCCAAGTTATTGCTAGGGTTCTATATGCCCAAAGGAGACTTTTTGTTTCGTCTCCAATCCATTTTGGAGGGATTTGGTTGAGGTATTCTGATATGTACTGGCTCAGAACAGGTTAAACTACTTGGGCCAGATTGAAATGGGCCAATTCTCAACCCTGTTGATTTCAAACTGGACCAGGGTTGTTCTGGTGGATGGCTGATGTAAGAGGATATTCTGAGTTCGCTCAGAAAGTTTATTAAGGTTGGGGATAAACAAAACAGGTTACATGACCAAGTGGCTGGTCAGGGTTCAGAATATGTGGTCTAAACTGGTCACTTGGTTATAGTTGCTGAGCTACAAGGTTGTACATGTTGCACAAGCCTTGGAACCTTGTTTATCTTGAGTTCGCATCCAATGAACTTTGTTTATGTCATCAGCTGATTTGGTTCTGTAACTTTAAATGTCTGTAACTCTTTAGTTATTGATTATTTTACAGAATTCTTTGTTTTTTGAGTATGTAGTTACACAGTGGTATGTAACTACATGAATTTTGTTTTTATTTTCTAATTAAAGTAAAAAAGTTTATTTTTATTTTTAAAGGCCTTTGTGGTCATTTGCAGGCTTTTGACCATATACACTTTTATATATAGATTTTTATGCTTAATATTAATTTATTATTTATAATATTTTTTCTTGGGCTAGTCTTGAGACTTGACTATGAGTTGTAATTGTTATTTTTAATATTTTATATTTTGAGGCCTATGGGTATGTATATACCTCAAGGCTGACAGAGACTGACTTACCCGAGGCATCAACTAGCCACCAAAGTGCAACCAGAAATTCGACTTCTTACCCACTATCCTCAATGGCGCCGGCTCCTCAACAGCCCATCAAGGCGCCCATCCGGATATCACTCCCTTCCTCCCAAAAGCCTTCAAGCTGTGGCTCTTTGTCTCACATTCTGGCTCAGAGACCTGAAGATGCTGCCCAAACTGCTGGGATGCGCACTAGGTCATCCATGCATAGTTCAGTTCCAACCAATACATAATCACACTTTCTTACTCACACTTTCCTACCAGATTACATTCCTTTTATACTACACTCATTATTTTCCATCTCAGTCTCTAGATTTCTTTTGATGAACAGATTGTTCTCTCACAATAATTAGAATAAAGTCAGTTTTGTTTTGAATTCCACTGGGCAGAAGATCATGTAATAGTCTTTGGGCAAATCATGAATATGTCTTAATTAACAAAAGGGAAATTAAACCATATGAGAATTCACATTTCTATTGATAAAGTAGAAAACATCATTTAATTAATTTATCTAAATGATGTTGCACACCACCAAAATATACATCATCTCTTTCATCATATTCACCATTCTGATATTTTTGACAAGTGCGGCTAGCCTTGGTTGCTACTTGTAGAGACAAACCAAGTTTAGTGAACTGCTGGGATTCTGATGGTCTTAAAGTGCCATGCACATACTCTTGGGCTCGAAATATGATAAGACAAACTGAATCAGGAGGGAAATTTAAGGCTATTTTTATGTCACAAAATATAAATTGCCCATTATGGACTTTATTACCTTTTGGGGCAAACTCCCCTGTTTTTTTGGAGGTGGGAAGAACCATAGCAAAGGCGAGAGGGAGTTCAGATTCATCGACATTGTCTTTGTGTTGGTGATTGTAGAAGCCATTGGATGAATAGGCCAGGTTGGATGCAAATCCATAGGGGGACTGATCCTCGGCTTTTTTGGGAAAGTTTTTATCAGCAAACGAGGGAATTCCAAATCGATCCATGTGAGCCTTGTTTTTTTCAACTGAAACATTCCCGAATACATGGAAGAAATTCCAAAGGACCTCTCCAGCTTGGGCTGAGTCGTCCATGAGTGCCTTGTAACGGGCCAGGTTTTTCTTGATGGCTTGCTTGTTGCGATATCGACCCAAGATTTCAAGGCCTTCATAAGCCTTCCGCCATCCAATGGCCCACATAATACCTCCACATTTTCTTGTTTTGGAACCGACAGGATAGATGAACTCTTTGCAGAGGTGAAGAAATGTTGTGAGGAAGTTGAGGTTGTCAAATTGGCTGGCTGGCATGGAATTGATGGGTAAGTACTGCACCATGGCTATAACCTGGCTGGTTGTTTTGTTGTATATCTTGGTATAGCCACTATCGAGTTGTTTGAATTATTTCTGAATGTAGGCCAAAGCAGCCGCACTTTTGGCGTGGGTGGGATTGCGGGCAATGATCTTCTGGCTGCGAGGCTTTTGGATCTTCTTGGGATTAGCTTGATGTGCGGCAAGTTGTTCCTTATAACTCTCCACCCTTTCCATGAGCTCGGCTGTTATCTTGGGGAAAAGATCGATGGGTTTCACACGGGCTTTGAGAACGTGGATGCCTGATGGTGCAGGCTGATCTGTGACTGTGGCTGCTGAATCGTCCTCCCGCTTTCTCCTCCATCTGTTCGCAAGATTTTTGTTTCGCTTTTGTTGCTTATTGGCATTCATTCTACATGAGTGTTCCATTCATTATGAGTCCGTGATAGGATCAATATGAGGAGGCACACCATAGAATGAATTTCCCAACGGTGGACAAGGCAATTCAAAATATCCATTGAAGTACATCAGGAAGATCAAGAGAGAGAATGATTTGCAGGGGAGGGAGGTAGTAAAGAAGGAGCCAGAAATTGTCAGCAACATATTACACTTTGAATCATCAAATCAAATGACAAACGAGGCAGTCGAGTGGATCCTTGGGGGTTGCAGGTGGTTTGATGTAGTAGGGGTTCTTGAGGCAAATCATCATGACCATGATTGATATGACGATGTACTGATTTCCACAGTTGGGATGGAATGGAACCGGGCTGTTTGTATGATTGAGCGGTGGATTCCTGTTCAAAGGGATGTAACAATGAAACCAATGCCCAAATGAGAATGAAAGATCAAATTAGCATAGTGGTCACCAAACTGAGTAATTTGATGAGGATTCTATAACTCTTGCCTGATATTTGTTGCTTACCCAAACAGGTTGTAATGTTGTGATGTCTCAGGATTTTTCAGCTACACAAGTTTGGGAAGAATATGCCAGCAATTTTGGTGTGAGTGATCAGGTTCAGTGTTCCAGGTTGTGGCTATCTGAAAACACCATAAGACATTATATGATCAGAACGATCCCTTGACCTGATAGGTAGGTAGAGCCGAGGCACTTACCTTCAAGTGAATTGATAGGGTATGTTCTGATAGATCAGGACCCCTTGCCAAGGCACCTGTGATTGATCAATTCAACAAGAGCTTCTTCGGTTGTGGATAGTCAATCTAAGATATCCACCAATGTGAACTATCAAGATTGTTTGGGGATAAAGGGAGTTGCTCTCGTGGTAGCCGGGGGCCGGAAGGAATCAAACCAAAGTTCCTGATCACGCTCAATGGTCTAGTCGTTTGCTAATGAACAGGTTGAGAACAGATGTGTCAGTTGTCACCATTGGATGTTAGGAGTTTTGGCTGTAATCAATCAGAGACGTGCCTCTAGCTTACCCAACGATATCCGGTATGCAGAAATGACCGATCAGAGGACTTGTGTTTCTTTGGGAGGTTCAGGGTGGTTATTGTTTGTCCAGAGCGATTCAGTACAGTTGCGAACGTCATTAACTGACCACATTTTTTTTTGGGTCCGGACGGTTGGGGACCAAAATTTTGCGATTTTTTTTTTTGGTGAAAATACTACCAAATCAGGAGATTTTCTGACCTGGGAGCAACCGCCCAGGCTCTCCGGAAGTCATATGTGTATTGGTGTAGTGGTCCTGGGTGGCTTTATGCCTTGCAAAGGGTTGTGTGTTCGACTCCGAGCCGAGGTTGTACTTACTACAAGCCTTTTTGACCTTTGGGTATGGGTTACAAGCATGTATTTATGTCATGTATGGCCTTTCTTAAGCCATATAGTCACCTGTAAATCCATACATATGTACTTACTAAAGTATTTATGGACCGGGTCCGATGGGTTGGAGAAAAAAAACGAAAAAAGAACCGTTGGTCGGATGCCTTAGCGGAGTTAATTCTGAACTCCCCTCGGTCTTAAAGGCTCAAACTTGTGGTTAGATGGGGGGTTGAGCCTATGTGCCCCCTACAATGAGGGCCCGCGTGCAAATTGTAAATTTTGCAGGCGGGTCAGTACAGTTTTATGACGTTTGCAACTGTATGTCTTCCTAGGTCTTGTCAATCTAACTGAGGAGCATCCGATCCAACCATGAAATAAGAGATGCTCAGACTAGAGCCATTACCTGACATGACTTTGAAGAAACAGTGTACATTACCGGAATGTGCTCTGAATGAGCCGATGTGATTAATTCCCAGTGAATCAGTATAGTATTGTTTGCGCTGATCAATCTTGTCAGCCTATGTGATGCCAAGACAAGTGTCTTCTAGCTACACAAGGTGCAAAATATGAGAGTTTTTATGGAAAAAACTCTGGGATAAAACTGGTACAGGTAATTCAAAAGAATTACGTAGAATTTATGGATTAAATCCAAAAAAGTGGCTAATTTATATTAATAAAATTAATATAAATAAAACCAGAGGGGCCTGATAAATCAGGGGTGGTTTAATCCCTCTAAGGTATCGTGCAAAAAGCAGAGGATTTAGGTACCTGATACACTGGGGCCTGTAACAGGTGTGGTTTAAATCCCAGGAGATAATTTAAAGGGGAAAATCTTCAAGAAAGGGTTATTACTTACTAGTAATAATCCTAAGGGGGTCTTGAGGATCTTCTTAATAGAAACTGGACAGTTGGGAGCGCTCAGAAAGGTTGATTTTGGGTGCTGGATGATCACTGGGGAGTTTCTTGAGGGTTCTTGAGGCTTAATAACAGCAAAAATAGTAATAACTAGGCTAATTACAAGTGTAGGGGACTTGTAAATGGTAAGTATGTTTCTATATGGTATTGTAAAGCTGGGGGATCATTATTTGGGCGGTCAGAAGGCCCTTTAAGTACCTGTGGAAGGCCTCAGGGGTTGCCCAGGGGAGCTTAGTAGGACTTGGGGGCGCTTTTTGGCCCATTTTGGCCCACATGGTGATGTAACCAGGGCTGGAACCTTGGGGATAATGTTCCAGAAGCTCCAAGGGGCCCTGCACGAAATTATTACAGCCAAGAATGTCTCATGGGGACCTGTAGATAGGGGCTGCTCTGTTACGTGGAGCAGGTTCCTTTGGAAATGGGCCACAGAATATTCCAGAGGTATCTTCTGAGGCTTGCTACACGTGTTACCCATTGGAATATGGTTACTGTAGTATTTTCATGGATATTCTAGCTTGTTCACATTCTTATTACACGTGTGGGGGCTTTGTTGTCACGTGCAATGGGGATTCTGGGGCTTTTGTGGCCCAATCCTTGGATACTGGTGCGCAGCATGACTACGTGGCGCGTGGGCTTGGAGACAGGACTCCACACAGCTCTATCTTCTAAACCGTGCACAATACTCCAATTCTGAGACTGAATTTGGAGTATATGCATTATGCATTATGCAGAGGAGTCACAGTACCCGTGATATGGGGGTACCTGTTAATTATTCATGCATGTATTACAGGGTGAAGGAGTTATAATTTGGGGTACCTTTGGCTGAGGTACCCTAGGTTAATTTGTATGCTGATTCAGAATCTGCAATAATAATTAAGGTTTTGTTTATACTTTTTAAGTTATTCATTTATTTTTATGTATTTTTTATCTTATTTACATAAGTAATATTGTTTCTTTTACTTATGTAATATTTTTACTTTATACTTAGATTTTTTATGTACTTTATTATTATATTTGCTATGACAGGTTGTCTCTGCCATAGTAGCAAGCTGACATTCCCTACCCCTAAGATGAGTTTACTCACAAAAAAAAGAAATAGTAGTTTAAGAGGGATAGAAAAAAAATTGTGTCACTCCTTAGGATGTTCTTTTGGAAGCTCTATAATTCCTCAGATGTATAGCTCCATCCGGGATATTATTCTCAGGTAGCCATTCATCCTTGTCTGCTGACTGGTTTTTATACCTTATCAGGTAAAGTCTAGTATCTTTTCCCTGTACTCTCTCTTTCTTATCCTTGAGTATCTTATGGACCTTAAGTTTCTCAGTAGGAGGAGTTTCTAAGACTGGTACGGGTTCTGGGGCTACAGGAGTATCTGCTGTTCTTTGTGTGTAAGGTTTAACAAGACTTACTGGAAAAACAGGGTGTTTTCTAGATAACTCTTCACTCAATATAACTTCTACCGCATTTTTCCCGTGTAGTTGTTTGATAGTAAAGGGACCAACAAATGAAGGTTTCAGTTTCTTGTTCCCACCAAGGTTATTGAAATTTACGGTAGAGAGAAGTACTTTATCTCCAATTTTGAATTCAGGTTCTTTATGACTCTTATCCCATCTATTCTTATTATACTCTACAGCATCTTCAACACATTTCTTGGCATGTAAATTTGTGGAATCTAACATTTTCTTGAAATCTAGTGCTGTAGGGTGTACATGAGGTAATTTGTCATTGATGGTATCTTTGGGCATGCGTGGGATCCATCCTCTTTCAAGTATATAGGGTGCTACTTTGGTTGAGGAATGTATGCTACTATTATAAGCTATTTCCAAGGCCGGTAGTAAGCTTACCCAGTCATGAGTATATCCATCATGATTTTTGAACTCAAATCCAAATGAACAGAATCTTCTGAGCATGTCTTCCAGGGTTTGTATCATCCTTTCAGCTAAGCCATCAGTCTGAGGGTGATAAGCTGTGGAGAAAGCTAATTTTGTTCCTAACATATCATGTAAGTTTCTCCAGAATTCAGATGTGAATTTGGGGTCTCTGTCACTAATGATTATTTTGGGAATGCCTACGTCAGCCATTAGTCTGTTCCAGAATAACATAGCTACTTCCATGGCTGTGTCATCTTTATGATTAGGAATAAATTTTGCTCTCTTGGAAAATCTATCAACTATGACTAGTACTGAATTGTAAGAGTAAGATCCTCCAGGAGGTAATCCAGTAACAAAATCCATATTGATGATTTCCCATTTATCCGTGGGTTCAGCAATTTTCTGAAGCAGTCCAAACCTCTTGCCTGTTTGTTTGTTTGCTTTTTGACAGGTGTCACAAGATTTAATGTATTCATGAACTTGTGTTTTCCAGTCAATCCACCAGGCAGTTTGTTTGACTCTTTCCACTGTTCTTTCTTCTGAAAAATGACCACAATTTACATTATCATGACATTCTTGAAGAATATTTTTTATTTGTCCTTCATCACATAAGACAAGTACGCTTGAGTGTTTGTGTCTGTAATACAACAAACCATCAAATAGCGTGAATTTGCCTAGTTTATAATGTTTGGACAGAACAGGTGTTAAACTAGCTGCTAGTTCTGGAGGGCTACTGTCATTTCTCAATATTTCTACTAGTTTTAGTAATTCACTATTTTGGTCATAACTTCTCTGAACTAATTCATAAAAAGCATTTTCCATGTCACATACGTGAATTCCTAAAATAGGGAATATGTCTTCATCCTCAGGATCATATGCAGGGTTATCCGGGGTATTGGGAAGAGCCCATCTGCTTAATCCATCAGCATTCATGTGTTTCTTGCCTGCTTTATGGATGATAGTCATATGTCCTCTATACTGTTGAATAGCAATTTGCCATCTTAACATGTGCCTGCTGGGGGTTTTCATGTTCATCAGAGTTTTGACAGCAGTGCAATCAGTGATAACTACAAAGTGAGAACCTTCTAAATAGTAGTGTAATTTATCTAGAGCCCATACTAGAGCTAAGCATTCCATCTGGCTGGCTCCATATTTTCTTTCTGATTCTTTGATTTGTCTAGAAATAAAGAGAATAGGTTTCTCCATGGGTTTGTCATCTATAACAAATTCTTGATGCAGAGCAGCTCCAAGTCCATCTAGACAAGCATCAATGTAGAGGATGAAAGGTTTGTCATAATCAGGTTGAGCTAGGACTGGAGCAGAAGTAAGCAATCTTTTCAATTCTTCATAATTCTGGACTCTTTCCCAGGTCATCTCATAAATAGTATCATCCTTGCATAGGGTATACAAGTTTTTACTTACTATGGCAAATTGAGGAATATGTTGTCTGTAGTAACTGCAGAATCCCAAGAATGACATCATTTCTTTCATGTTATGAGGAGGTTCTTTCTTCATAACAGCAGCTACTTTATTCTGATCTACAGCTAGAGTTAGGCCAGATACTATTCTTCCTAGAGCTTTCAGTTCTCCGTAACCAAAATTGCATTTTTTAATGGACATTTTCAAACCAGTCTTAATGGCGGTACTCAGCACTAGATGAATTTTCTCTAAGTGGGTTTCCCAATCATTTGAATATATAATTATATCATCTATGTAGACCATCATCCAATCTTGCCTGATAAATGCGCCAAAAATTGAGTCCATCATTCTTTGGAAATGGGAAGGGGCATTTTTTATTCCAAAGGGCATTCTTAAATATTCATATATTCCCAAATGACAAATTATTCTCAAAAATTGTCTGCTATCTGGGTCAATTGGTATCTGATGGAACCCTTTAAGAACATCCATGGTTGTGATATATTTAGCTTTGGATAAATTATGCAATGAGTGATCAATACGTGGAATTGGGTAATAATCAGGTCTAGTGTAGTTATTCAGGGCTCTGAAATCACCAACCATTCTTGATTTCTCATTATGCCAGGCAATAATTACTGGAGTAGTAATTTCTACTTGTTCATTGTGTCCAACTTTCCTCAACACACCTAATTCCATTAGTTCTTTAATGTGTGTTTCTAAAGCTTCTCTGGATTTAGGACTGGAAGGATAAGGGGGTCTTCTTAGGATAGGAGGATAAGGTTCTTTGACAGTTAATTCCAACTTCATGTCATGCCCTTTTATGTTACCAATGGGTTCTTCAGTGGTACAAAAGGATTCTTTATTTATGAAGCAAGTCTTAAGCACATCTAATTTCTGTTGCTCATCTAGAATATCACTAACAGCTGCTTGAGAAAGATATTCAGCTTTGAAAGACATCATTTCTTCCGTCATTTCATCAGGTACATCAGGGAGTTTGATATTCACATTGCAAATTTGGAACTTCCTTTTCCAATCTCCACCAATAGTGTAGAATCTGTTCTTACTCTGAAATATGTCAATTCCATACATGCAAAAAGTATCATTTCCTAGAATTAAATAGTCACAAATGGCATCTTGAAGAACCACAAATTCTATGGACAATCTTAAAGATCCTTTGGAATGCGGGAAAATTAAAGGCATTACCACAATTCCTAGGGGTTTCATAGAGGAATTACAACTACTAAACTTAGCCTTGGGAACAGGGAGTAGATTATTTTTCCATTCTGGGTAGATTTCATTCAGAAAGTCACTACTAGTACAGGAGCAAAAGGCTCCAATATCTAATAAGGCTTTGATGGATTTATCCTCAAATATAACAGAGGTATAACTAGTTTTTCCCAGAGTGTAACTCATCCCCTTTTCTGGTTTATTAGTGAGTAATTTAGCGTCAGACACATGACCAATTTTCATTGAGGAATCCCATTTCTGTGGTAAATTAGAATCTCCTTGGATGGTATTGATATGTAATTCATCACCAATATCAGCTTGGATTACCACAATTCTATGAGACTCCTCTTCTCCTGGTTCAGTGGTTATGACATCAAATTGAGATCCAGAGTCATATTCACTGTCAGTCTCTTCATACACTTCCACATTATTAATCTTTTTGCGTGGATTAGGGCACTCAGGTCTTTTGTGGCCCTTTTCTCCGCAATTATAACACTCAGGTATGCTAGCTTTTCTTACGGGGGCTTCAGCTGCGGGAGCTTTTTCTTTGACATTGTCTGGCTTGATAAATTCTCTTTTTTCAGGTATATTACTTCTGACATATTTTTTATTCAAGCCATTCATAATCACCACTTCTTCCAATACTCCTACAAACTCTGTTAGATCAACATCCATATCTTTTAGCCTACATCTAACTAAGTGTTCTATGGTTCCTTTGCATTGAGTTAATAACCTGTCATTTATTTCTTCAGCAGTGGGATTATTGTAAATACATTCAATCCTTTTCTTTTGGATTAAGCACCATTCTCCTATAGAATGCTTAACTGGGTCAAAATAATCACTTTCAAAAGCTATTCTTTTGGCAGTTTTCCAAACCCTGGTACTAAACCTAGCAATAATTAGTTCTTTCCAAGTAGCCCAACTTTGTAAGCCTATAGATTGGCTTTTGGTAACAAACCAGTCTCCGGCTATTCCTTTCATGATTCTAGGGAGCTTGGAGGTAATCATGTCATCAGGGGCATTGTAAGTTCTCAACAAATAATCAATGTATTTAATGAAGCTAATATGGTCATATTCATCTTTACCGTCAAATTCAGGCCAATCTTTTATTGGAGGCATATATTTATTTAAATTAGCCAGCTCAGCCGCAGTATATGGTGTTGAATTTCTTATAAAATCTATTTCCTCATTTGATTTTCTTAGTATTCTAGGATCAGAATTAGGAGGATGAGGAGAACAGCTTTTGACCTGAGGAGAGCTTGATTGCATAAAGGGATTGTTATGCTTTGGTTCTTCTAACTTGGCGGAGATATCATTGAAATGGTTGTTCACACGATGGGGAGGCGAATCTCTGCTCCCATGGCGTAGAGAAGGAATACAGTCTTCTTTTTTATTCTCAGCGGTGCTTTGCCTGTCGCCGCCCCCTTTAAGATTGGATTCGGCTGAGCAGTTTCTCAAAAGATATAGTTCTTCTTTGATTGCATTGAACTGATGTTGTATAGAAGTGCGTATTAGATCTATTTTACTGTCCGAGTCGGCACTCTTTTGTATCAATAGATTTTTTAGCTCTGATGTCTTTCTCTCAAATTTAGCATTCTCTACGATAGCGTCTTGTCTAAGGCAAGACAGGATGTAGTCCGCTTGAGCGTTACTCTGCGCTGCAAAATTTCTTGCAAACTGTACTGTCTCATTAATGGTTTCCTTACAGTCTTTTGAAGTATCGCGGAGATATTCAACATCCTTCTGGATGACAGTCAGTTGCTCACTATTCTTCGGGGTCATTTCAATAGGCAATGGTCTATTGAGCTGTTGTAGGATCTTAACACAGACACTTTCTATAGTTTCTTTTGTGTTATTTTTAGAATTTTCTAGACTATTTACAATACTAGCGAAATTGCTTTCGCTGTTAGAATCTAAGGTAGAGATATTGAAATTGAGAGTCTCTAAAGAATCGATGATCTTCAGGGCTACTTTGGGATCTGTTACAGGTTCTGGTACAGTCCGGAAGCCGTCTGGAGTAAATCTGCTACTCTCTTCCATTTGACGGGATCGGCGAAGTTCGTCGAAGTTGAGCTTTGTCGTTTGCCCGAGTCGTTTCTTTTGAATTTCATAAGATTCTTTTTGGGGGGGGAGGGGAAATGTATCTTCTTTTCTTCCCATGGGTTCCAACCCTTCACATAGCTCTTGATCTCTTCGTTGTCGATGAGTTTCTGAAGAGCCTTCTGACTCTCCTGAGCGGTAGTCAGTAAGGCTCGTAGCCTTGCGGTCGGTCCTTCCCTGGAGGCGACTAGACATTGTTTCCAGAGCCCTACGTGCTCTTTCACCCGGAGTTTGACTTGATCTTCCTTCGATAAGATCCTGATTTCCGGAGTGGAAGGGCGTGTCGGGGTAGCTTCCGAGCATTCTGGGTCGATCTCGTCGATCTCCATAGCAGAACTCTTCTCCTTGCTCTGAGGCTGCTTTTCTTTCGAAACTTCTTTGTCTTGAGACGTCGCCAGGTTCTCCTTGCGCGGTATAGTTGTCATTTTCAAGTTTTCTACTCGAGACTGAAGTTCCTTTGCCGCTACGAGGTCTCGTCGGAGCTGGGAGGGGACCTCGTAGTTCTGGGCAATTAGATCTAGTGGATTTAGTCATGGCAGATTACTTCAAGTCAGCTAATCGATTATAAAAAAAAAGGAAAGGATTTGGCTACTAACGTTCGGACGTTTGGCTATCGGACCCGTTATCAGTATCGACTGAAGGAGTAGGGCTAGCTCGTTCTTGCCTAATTACACCGGTTTCGAACGTAGACACTGATCGAATAAAAAAAAATGTAAATATTCTATTATTAATTCTCGAGAGAAGGAAAGGAATAAGATATGCTAACTTCTTTCAAGATATCTTTTCCGACGGAGTTGATTGTTTTTCTCGCGGATCTCTCTAAGAAAGCTCCTGAATTGGATCTGTCGATCTAAGTCTTCCTCTTGATGTATATGGGCGTGGTAAGTCGCTAACAGAAGTTGTTCTTCTTCCGATAGCTTTTCCCAAGGCGTTGGCTGGTAGTTCTTTTCTTTTTCTTCTTTTCGTAATCTAAGAATGATAAGGTAACGCTGAATTAACTCGGCGTTTTCTTGCAGATTCACTAAGAAAGGAATAAGGAGGAAGTTTTTTAGGATTTTTACTCGAGAATAGGAATTGGAAAAAGGGAGCCGTAAAAAATTGAGATATAATTTTTCTAAGGGTTTGGTTTTTTTGTAGAATAAGAGAGATATATATATTTTTCTTTATGTGTATTTTTTTCTGTAGTAATGAAAAAGATGACCGTAAAAAAAATGGTAATTTTTTATGAGTTTTTAATTAATTTTTGAGAGAAAAAATCAGGAATAAATTCCAGGTGGCTTATTTTATTAAAAAGGGTATTTTTACTAAAATTTTCCCGGCCAGACCCCCAATTGTCAGCCTATGTGATGCCAAGACAAGTGTCTTCTAGCTACACAAGGTGCAAAATATGAGAGTTTTTATGGAAAAAACTCTGGGATAAAACTGGTACAGGTAATTCAAAAGAATTACGTAGAATTTATGGATTAAATCCAAAAAAGTGGCTAATTTATATTAATAAAATTAATATAAATAAAACCAGAGGGGCCTGATAAATCAGGGGTGGTTTAATCCCTCTAAGGTATCGTGCAAAAAGCAGAGGATTTAGGTACCTGATACACTGGGGCCTGTAACAGGTGTGGTTTAAATCCCAGGAGATAATTTAAAGGGGAAAATCTTCAAGAAAGGGTTATTACTTACTAGTAATAATCCTAAGGGGGTCTTGAGGATCTTCTTAATAGAAACTGGACAGTTGGGAGCGCTCAGAAAGGTTGATTTTGGGTGCTGGATGATCACTGGGGAGTTTCTTGAGGGTTCTTGAGGCTTAATAACAGCAAAAATAGTAATAACTAGGCTAATTACAAGTGTAGGGGACTTGTAAATGGTAAGTATGTTTCTATATGGTATTGTAAAGCTGGGGGATCATTATTTGGGCGGTCAGAAGGCCCTTTAAGTACCTGTGGAAGGCCTCAGGGGTTGCCCAGGGGAGCTTAGTAGGACTTGGGGGCGCTTTTTGGCCCATTTTGGCCCACATGGTGATGTAACCAGGGCTGGAACCTTGGGGATAATGTTCCGGAAGCTCCAAGGGGCCCTGCACGAAATTATTACAGCCAAGAATGTCTCATGGGGACCTGTAGATAGGGGCTGCTCTGTTACGTGGAGCAGGTTCCTTTGGAAATGGGCCACAGAATATTCCAGAGGTATCTTCTGAGGCTTGCTACACGTGTTACCCATTGGAATATGGTTACTGTAGTATTTTCATGGATATTCTAGCTTGTTCACATTCTTATTACACGTGTGGGGGCTTTGTTGTCACGTGCAATGGGGATTCTGGGGCTTTTGTGGCCCAATCCTTGGATACTGGTGCGCAGCATGACTACGTGGCGCGTGGGCTTGGAGACAGGACTCCACACAGCTCTATCTTCTAAACCGTGCACAATACTCCAATTCTGAGACTGAATTTGGAGTATATGCATTATGCATTATGCAGAGGAGTCACAGTACCCGTGATATGGGGGTACCTGTTAATTATTCATGCATGTATTACAGGGTGAAGGAGTTATAATTTGGGGTACCTTTGGCTGAGGTACCCTAGGTTAATTTGTATGCTGATTCAGAATCTGCAATAATAATTAAGGTTTTGTTTATACTTTTTAAGTTATTCATTTATTTTTATGTATTTTTTATCTTATTTACATAAGTAATATTGTTTCTTTTACTTATGTAATATTTTTACTTTATACTTAGATTTTTTATGTACTTTATTATTATATTTGCTATGACAGGTTGTCTCTGCCATAGTAGCAAGCTGACAAATCTGGACAGTGTTCTGAGACCTGTTCAACAGAAGCAATTGATTAGACAGTGTTAGGAAATAGATATTAGCGATAAGAAATCAAACAGAAGACTATACTGCACTTGATAGCAATATCAATGAGTCAATGGTCAGCACACTCTCTAGCCTTGCGATATTGTTGATGCAGACTGTCTGTCTAGCCAGTTAAAATATGAATGATCAATCAGATGTTGTTAGTGTATGAAAGATGGGTGTGATGAAGAAAAGGGAATGATCCAGCCTACCCAACCGTCCGGTCAATCAGTTTGGTTCTTGGTGGATCAGCGTGATCGGGACTGTTTGTCTAAGTCTTTGCTATCTGACCAAAAATTTTGACATGTTTAGATTTGATCCATATGAAGTATTGCCCAAAGGGGACAGCTTACATCACCTGCGCGTGCTTAGATTGAGCTAAGGTGCGATTGTTCAAGCCAAGCGATGATGTTTGTTCAGATCGATCAGGATGCTATTGTTTGTTGTGACTGATTGGGAATGATTTTCCAGGTCTTTGCAATCCAAGCAAGCAATATACAATCTAAATGAGAGATCAGTGATGCTTAGATTAGAAACAACATCCTTAATCGATATAAAGAATAGGCTAACATTGAATAAAAGTGATCTGATATACCTGAGGTGACAGATGCCGAGCAAAGCAATAACAATAGCTCTTGTCAATCTGGACAGTCGTCCTACACCACCTGTGAAAGACGAGCGATTGATCAGAGACAGGCAGAATGTAGCTGTTGGCTGTAAGAAAAGAAAGTAAAGCAAATACTTTACTTGATAGCAATCTGGATGAGCCAAAGGTTAGAACAGGATAGCCAGGCAATCTCGTTGACGCTGGCACATTGTTCACCCACTTGAAAGATAATGGATCGATCGGATATGGTTAGTGGTTTAATGTTGGATGAGATCAAGGAAAGAGAATGATCAACCTTACCAAACAGTATTGGACTTGGAGGGAAATGTAACAAAAAGCAGTGGGCCGATTGAGATTGAGTTCTGCTGGGCGCTGCAGGATCGAAAAAACCAAAGTGATCTGCATGATTGAATCAAAAGGGTTTCTGACCGGGCCATGCATGGACTACACAGAGGAACATGACAGCCGCAGGAGCAAACTTTGGCATTTGACTCAGGACATCACATCACCGCCCAGCTTTGCTACATAGCGCCTTCATCAACGAGCTGGAATATCTTAACCTGGTGAATCATCCAAGTCATCGCTCAGGTAACTGTCCTCACTGTCTATAGCCTTGAAGTACTCTGTCCATTGAATTCCTCCTCCTCCTCTTCTGACAGCCAAACAAAAATTAACAAATGCTTATATTCTTAATCTTGTTGGGTATCTGTTTCGTACCAGATCGGTCTCCCGTTTATCTAGCTCCAGTGCACACATTCAAATCCTATGGCTGGCCCCACCACTGCCGATCAGCCCGTCCCCCCAACCTCAACAACTAATACCACTTGTGTCATCCCCGGACTTTCCTCTCAACCACCCAACAACCCAGCTTCCAAGCGCTCCCATAAAAAGAAAACTGGCTCAAAAGTCGACAACACCACCAAGGCTGTCGCCCGCGTTCCCGCCTTTGTTGATGAGCCCAATGAGCTCACCGAACCCGCTCCTGCACCTCTCATCACATCCATGCCCAAGCCTCTCAATGGGCTGACCCCATCAGCCCCACCCGCCTCTGCTTCTGTATCCATATTGCCCGTTCAACAAGTCCAAAAGCAGCTGCAACTAAGAAACTGGTTCGTCACATTGCCTTACTCATCCCGGCCTCATCAAGAGAATCTTGACTCTGCCTTCCACCGTCTGACCTGAATCACATCCTGATCTGTTCCCCCTATCTAGCAACACATTGGTGGTTACGAGAGTAGCACTGCTCCGTTGAACAAAGATCAAAAACGGGCTATCACTTCTAAACCAGCCTTAGAAGCTACCGTCAAAGAATTACAAGACTTGTTGAAAATTCTAGAAGTACGTCACTTGAAGTAGTGATCTATCCTCCTAGCCCTGCACAAGTTGACCAGAAGCATAGGCATTGAAAAATCTCTGCTTGTTTGCTACTGCAGGAAGATGAGAAACTCGATGAACTTTGAATTCAAGCTGTACGAGAAGAAGAGGAACTGAAAGTGCAAGGAAGGGTTGACAGTGTGGTTCTCTCTGAGAAGGTCCGTTCTCCTTTCTCTCTCCCTATACTACCTGGGCATTCCCAGGGTTGTTCGAACCACAACTATCTGAATAGCTTTCACATCACTCGCGCCTGCAACGTATTGACTTTGGGATTCATTCACCTTCTCCACTCCAAAAAAATCGCACAAAAACTCAACGACTCGTGTTTTTTTTTCCTTTGCCTTGTGCAGAAAAAAGCCAAATCAAATTTGACATTCTTGCGGCAATTCCTGCATCTGTACTCTCTTTTTAACTCAGCCACTTGGCAAACTGACTCTTTTGCGCCACCTATCGTCTCACCCGTGATACAAAATGCTACAGCTCAGGAGCTAGCCGCTGTGAATGCTGTTTTTCATCGATTGGCTGATGGACGTAAGTTTTTTTTTACTGATGATCGTCAAACTCAATTTGGTTATTTTACCAAGGCGGTTGTTGAAATGCTAACCAACCATTTATACCCATCACAGGTGGTGATGGGGACGCCTTTGATAGTATCAATCGGTTTACTCAAGGTCATACTGGTGACATCATCAAGGGTGTGGCCCTCTATAGGGACTTTTACCCGCCGGGAAGGGACTTTTACCCGCTGGGAGGTCAAAAAGAAGATTGGCTTTATTTGATAGACCTTGATTTTCTTATAAACCGTTGCAAAGTATGTTTGACTTGCTGCTGAAATATGCAAAATCTACATTATTTGCAATAATAAGTACTCAGCTGGGATGGTGAATTATCAAGAATCGTTCAGAAAGGACATTTTATCAAAAGATTCAAATGATGGATTAATCGAGACATCATAATCAGGGAGAACCAAATGAGAGCAGAAGTCAATTGTAAAGGAGCAAGAAGAATCAAAAGAGGAACTAAAAATTAAATCAAGCAGATGAGTCAGACAAGTAGGATGAGGCAGGCAAGTCAGATGAGTAAGCAAGCCGATCAACTTGATCTTCAACCAACGGAAGCATTTGCTCAAATACAGTCCATATATTTCCCACTGAAATTTCTGTAAAATCGATACCAATCTTGTGAAGAGCCTTGCTCGCCACTGCATGAAACCATTTGGGGGTGTGTTCGAACATTGCAATCCGGTCTGGAAAGTCGGCTTTTCGGATTGATTTGATATGTTTTCCTGGAATCTTGACAAGCTGATCAGTCGTCCCTTTGCTTTCAGGAGTACTATAACAAAAATCGGCACTGCAGCCTGTTGGGAGTGCGGTTCAATGGTCAAGACACCTTTTGGAATGGTTGTATATATCAACCCAGATGTCGACACTGGATTGAAAAACTGGAATCCACAAAAAGAGGAACAAAAGTCTAAAATTCCAGTGTCAGACATGAAAACTGGTTCATGATGAATCAAACGGATGACTTACTTTTGAAGCTCATTGTTGGGGTCATAACTTCCAATCATAATTGCATGTTTGATGTTGTCAATGATATATTGATTGTGTTGTTTCATCATCTGAGACCACAAAGCCTCAATCTTCTGATTGTGTGTAGATTTCGTAAAGTGCATTTGTTTTTTGGCTTCCTCGGCGTTAACTCCAGCAAATCGATTGGACAACCACGATTGGTAAGTCCCCATAGTTCCGGTCTCTGATCCAAAGTCACTCGTAACCTTCTGTGGTATTCCGCCAATCTTCAATGCCAGGTCAAGAAAGTATATGGTGTTGCAAGCCCGTCTGGGCACACACCAAACTTCGGCCGAAAACAGGCCAAGCGCGCTGGGCCGATCTTAAAGCACGCTTGGCCGACTGTAAAGCCCTTGTGGCACCCTCCCAACCCCCGCTTGGCATATGTAAAACTTGGCGGGGGTCGGAGCAAAGCCTCGCTTGGCCGAAATCAAGCGAGGGTGCCATGCCGCCCAAAAGTCGATGCACCCCATAACTCAAGGGGTGCATCGACCCTATGTTACCGGTACTGGTTACTTGCTCATCTTACCCATAGCTTTCATAACTCTTATCTTGGCACAAGATCTTCACTCAACCCTCTGAAATCTACTTTCAAACAAACTTGGAAAATTTTGAGATATGGCACCAGTCTTCGAAAATAAAGAGATCGGCCTTGTGGTTTTTGTATTGGGGGGACCCGGTGCGGGTGAGTTCCTCCCAATTTCCGAGATATAAGCGGTTGAAGCAACTGAGAGCATCTCCAACGGACCCGCGATCGGGCCACCGGGGGCGAACTTTGACCGCCCGACTTCAATTTTCAACATCCAACGGACCCGCGGATCGACCCTGAAAACATCGCGGGGGGCAGTCAAACCCGCGATGACCTGCTGACTTCTGCGGGTCACCTCCCAGCCGCAATTCGATCCCTCCTCCTCCATCAACCCATCGAAAACACCTCCATCACATCATCTACACCTCCAAAACCACACGAAAATGGCAAGTTCTCCGAAAAAAAAAGAGGAAGAAAGGCTCAAAAAGATTCCATGGCTACTCCAAAGACAGCTAAAACTTCGACGGCCAAAACTCCGACTGCTCCAAAACCGACAGAATCTTTGACTACTCCGAAACCAGCTGAATCATCAAACATCAACAACGATTCCACCCCGAAAGCCCCTGAATCTGCACCCAAGAAGGGTTTCCCTCGATGGTCCGTTGAAGAGGACAAAAAATTGTGTATTGCTTGGTTGAACACAAGCCGGGATCCCATCGTCGGAAACGGACAGAAGGCATCGACGTTCTGGGAACGAATCCACAACACCCTCTCCGAACTCATTACCGAGTACAATGAAGAGAAGAAAAATTCTAAAGGGTTCAAGGAACTTCCGCTACGACCGGTTGGTGCGGTCGAATGTCGCTGGGCACTCATCATGAAGTTGGTCAACAAATTTTCTGGATGCTATGCAAATGTTGAACGGCGCATGAAAAGCGGCAAGACTCGCGAAGATATGGTACGTTTTTTTATCTTACTTGCTCTTATATATATTATATATATATATATATACTAATACACAAGAAAATTGCAAAGCTTACCGAGGCCAAAGAATTATACAAGGCAACCTTCGAATCGTCATTCAATCTCGACCATTGCTGGGGAATCTTGAAGGACACCCCGAAATGGCAGGCGACTCAGCAAGAAAACGAAGCTCGAAACAAAAAAGGCAAGCAATCTGGGGCAGCCCCCCCTTCTTCTGATATCCCCAGCTCTACGCCTGCAACCTCGGCTATTGAAGTTGAAGATGAGGAGTCCGAAGCGAGTCGATCGGTCCTGGGGAATAGTCGTTCCGAAGGTCAAAAAGCAGCCAAGCGCAAACGAACTGAGGAGATCTCACTCGATAAGCTTGTTTCAATGCAGAAAGATCTCATTGAAATCTCGCGTGATCGGTTGTCATCGATGAAGGCTGCCGCGCAATCTACGTCGGACGATGCGATTATGTCGAAAGATCTCACCTTGCTTGACGCAGAGAGTCGTGCATACTATCAAAGGAAGAAAAGGGCGATCATTGCCCGCGAGTTGCAAGAAGAGAAGGAGAGGGAAGAAAAAGAGAAAAAAGAAAAGGAAAAGAAAGAGAAAACCGAAAAAGAAAGAAAGGCGAAAGAGGAAAAGGAGAGACAGGCGAAACGCAGGAACAGAACCGAAAAGAGACCGATAACGATGCGGAGGAGGATGAAGATGTCGATGAGGACGATGATGAGGAGGTTGAACAGGATGAACACGAGGAGGAGGAGGAGGAGGTTGTTGAATGTGAAGAATAATTGGATCTTTCTTTTTTTATTTTGATTATCAGATCGTTTCTCTCCTAGTCAGATGCAGTTGTTTTCTCTCATCTTTCTAGGATCAATTGATCAATAACTCAATATTTCATTTGCCTTCCCTTTTGTTTCCTCTGTCCACCATTGATTGTCTTGCTTGTTTGAACAAACTGCAAAATAATCAAGGGAAACCAATAAATTGAAATTGCAAGTGATAAATAAAAAAAATAAAAAAAAGTAAAAAACAATAAAGTGACCTTGCAAGCGAGAAAAAACATTTAAGAGACATTATAAGCGAGAAAAAAACGACAAGAAAGACTAAAATAAAGAAGAAGAAGAGATATTGTAAGCGAGAAAAAAAAGACAAGCAAGATTAAAATAAAGAAGAAGTGAGAATGACAATGGAAAGAACATTCAAGCAGTTGAAGACGGCGGGGAATTGTCCTCATCGGATCCGTGCTTGTTCCACAGGTGATCTATGAGATCACTTTTGAGACGCGTGTGTGATGTGTGATCTCGGATGGACTGGTATTTGAGCAAGAATTGTTCAAACGACGAGTTGTTTGGTCCGTTGGTTGTGACTGATGCCTGTGTTCGTGCTGTTTGATGGTAGGTGTAATCACCATCAAAATCGCTTCCAGATTCGTCTTCAATCGTCATGTTGTGCAGAATAATGACAGCTGACATGATATCGGAGAGATTCTCGTGTCGCCAAAATTGACCAGGAAAACGAATGATTGCATATCGAGATTGTAGAACCCCAAAAGCTCGTTCGACATCTTTGCGGTACGACTCTTGCATCTTTGCAAAATGTTTCTTCTTTGCGCCTTGTGGTTCAGAGATTGATTGGATGAGTGTTGCATATGGCGGGTAAATGCCATTGGTGAGATAGTACGCAAGATTATATTGGTTTTCGTTGACTTTATAGGAGATTGAGAGTCCTTCGCCTTCTTGAAGATGTTCGAATATTGGGGATCGATCTAAAATGTTGATATCGTTCAGAGTACCTGGAAGTCCAAAGAACGCGTGCCATATCCAGAGGTCGTAGGAGGCGATTGCTTCGAGAACTACTGTTGGCTCTTTTTCTTTACCGGTATATTGTCCGTGATTGGCAACTGGGCAATTCTTCCAGCACCAGTGCATGCAATCGAGGGACCCCATCATGCCAGGAAAGCCTCGTTCTTCAGCGACCACCAGGAGCCTCTTTGCATCGCTTTCGTTCGGCTTTCTTAAGTACTCGTTGCTGTACACTTTCACTATAGTTTGACAAAATTTTTTTAAACATTCAATCGCAGTCGATTCACCTTTTTTGAAATCAAGCATAATCAGATTTGTGTTATACTTAATCTTACAAAAATTCAGGAGTCACACTTACTCATACGAAGATACTCATCGATGGAGTCCCCACTGCATCCGTATGCCAGCATTCGTATAGCAGCCGTTGCTTTTTGAAGAGTTGAGAATCCTAATCTTCCTGCTGCATCGCGCTTCTGTACAAAATAATCATCGGCTTGTTTGATATCTTCAACAATTCGTAAAAAAAGGCTTCTGCGCATCCGAAATCGGCGCCGGAAGAGATAATCGGGATACACAGGTTCCTCGGAGAAATAATCGTCGAACAGTTGCTGGTGTCCCTGTAGTCGGTTCCGGTGAATTTCTCTTCGGCCAGGTGTAGATCCACCACGTTTTTTTTTCTCTTTTGTCTTCAAGATCAAGCCGATTGTTGTTTGAATGGAAGCAAGGAGATCGTCATCGTCGTCCATCCATTGGAGGATGTCGTCCATGGTGCCGAAATTAATTGAAGTTGGGGGGGAGGATTGGTTGCTAGAGTTGAGTTGGGGTGTTCATGCGATACATAGCCATGAAGAGCCAGTCCATAATTGGAGCTGACCCGCGGACTGTGTGAAATGTGATCGCGGGCCGGGGAACGCGCGTCAACTGCCCCCCGGACCGTTAGAGATGCTCTGAGAGTGGCTAGGCACCGTGGAGAAGACCTTCAAGCTGATGTGAAATAAGTTATATTCGATTCGGGATCCCTTATCCCTGCTTCGGACATCTAGGAAATGATTAACAGAGGAGTCAACGAATGTAAAGGAGAAAGAGAAAAAAAACTGACCTTGAGTTGTGTAGTGCAAACCCAGAGGTGTGGGTGAGTTGAGTGAGAGGAGTTGATGAGAATGGTGTTGACCAATCGGCCAAGAGGTTGAAATCGGCCCAGCGAGACTTGGCTAAGTGCCAAGTCCCGCCCCCCGCACAACCCGCATGATCAAGCCCTCTGGGCACAAATCAAACCCCCGGTGGCTATCGGCCAAGCGGGACTTGGGTTTGTGCCCAGACGCGCTTGCAAGACCATACTCCAATGGGACGTGGATCATTGTTGGTCACATGAACAAACATTCCCAAAATTTTTCTCAACCATGCATCTATGAATCCATACACGCATATTCCATACTTCTTCAGTTTATTGTGTCCATTGCAGGCCCAGATGTGTTCAATAAACACGGCAAACACAAGCATGACAGGGACGTGCGGCCATACCATCAGGATCGACCTCCTTGAGAACATCATAAACCATTTGTCTAATAGAAAGTTAGGAACTTTAGCTAAGACTAATTGCAGTGGGGGCAAGACAGGTGCATACCTTGGAATCCGTATTTCGTATTGACGCATTAAAATAGTTCTCATCCGTCAATATCCAGTGTTATCATGAAGCAGACTGTTTCTTGCATGTTCAACAGCTTCAAACACTCGTTCCATTGTAACATTTCCCTCTGCTACATCGTTAACAAGGAGTTTGACCCCAAGCCTCCTTAAGTAGCGCTTGACCATCCTAGTACACACATCAATTTTTGCTTCCTTGAGTAATCGAGCTTGTATTTCCACAAGGTTCAGGCCCTTTGCATGAGAAGACAAGATTGAGGCTCAAATGGGAGGTGATAAGGGGGGTGGTGGAAGCTTTTGAAGGTCTTTTGCTCGCAGGTTCCATAATTTCCGCTTTCAAGATAGTGTCCGAAGTGACATGATCACTCCATGATCCTGTTTTAGAATCTTGATAATTTGGGGACCTCTGTGTCCCAAGGCCAGAAGTTTCTGGAGGATTTTCTTTTCTGAGTTACTAGTCAAAGTGCCGCCGGATGAGTTGTTGCTGGAATCAGAATCAGAATCACGCTGTTGGACAAAGTCATCATCTTCATCATTGGATCCACTGTACTCGGAGTAGTCGGACGTAAGTGGATCATCATCATCACTACAAGCAAGGTAATGTTCGCTATGAGAAGAATTATCTTTGTTTGAGGATGAGTCATCTTGATTGGAGGATGAATCATCTTCATTGGAACAGTGATTGTGTTGATGGGAGACTGAAATGTCTTCTTTGGAAGTTTGACTGTGGTTGGAGATATCATTTTTGTTGGCAGAGCTTGTTTCTTCCAAACAACTTTAATTTGAGGCCGAATAGTCAACATGCTCTTTGTCAGAGTCAGTAGCATCTGAGCCATCTTCACTTTCTTCACTGGAGTTGGATGGTTTGCAATGGTTGTAACTCGAGCTGATCAGGTAGGAATCTTCTTCAGAGCAGGAGTTGTTTTCATCTTTATCATCGGCATCAGAACGGTGCTCATTGCTGTCATTGGAGTTGGAACAGCTGGAAGACCCCGTGGTTGAGCCGTATAGGTTACAATTGAAGATATTGGTATCTGGCTGATCATCACTTGTGTTGGGATCATCTGAGTGGTCTTCATCAGAGTCGCCAGTGGCCTTTGATGAGATCGAAGGGCTTTTTGGAGAGGCATTGGATGAGGAATAGAAATCATCTGATGAGGAATCCTCATTTGGGGAAAACCTTGGCATATTGATGTGATGTGTTTGTTTTTGCTACTAAGGAATCAATGGGGGGGGGAGCTGGATTACACATTTTACCTCCGAAGATAATACATGAAAATACATTATGGTGAGGTGAAACATGTCAAGTGTTGTACAGTGGAGGACTTCCCGTCGCCATTTAGAGTGTTTTTTAAGCCCTCTGGAGTCCTAAATTTACACCTCAATCATAATTCCAACCAGCTCACATGAGAGCTATCTTCCCAAGGCTTATGAAAAAATATTTTTTTATATCAAAAATTAAGATCTTGGGGGTGTAAATCAAATTCTGGGAAGGTTGTAAACCGCGACGGGAAGTCATCCAGTAGGTTGCGTGATTTTTTGGTGTTTTGGCGCGATTGGCGCGATTTCAGGTTGGCACGAATGTTGTCCCCTATGGGCTTCCATAAATAGAACATATGGAATGAATAAATTAAAAATATGTTTAAAGCAAAATTGGCGGCGAAGCCACCCTTAGACACTAGTTCATACATTTAAAGGCTGTTTCCTGTATAACCTTTCAGGCAACGAAACTCATTCATACAACTTTTGTGTGTATCATTTTTGTTTTTTTTTTTTTTCTGAAAAATTCATACATTTTGGTCACCCACATAGTTCGGGGGTTTCCAGGGTCCTGCCGAAGCCTCTGGGAGCACAAAAACTCGCAGCAACGGATGAGGGATCTAGCTGGATCTGAAATACCGGCTCCAACCGAGGGTCCGAGGTTCACACTTGGTCCTACATATGCGCACAAGAGCTTAGGAGAAACTATACAGATACAATCTCCAATGTTCGCCGGGCAGTGTTCGCCCCCTTACTTGGATGTTGGCACCAAGGGATTCAAGCTCGACATCAATTAATCAATCATCTAGATTCTGGATGGCTGTTGAATATGGTTCGGTGGAAAAGAAAGGGGTATGGACAGGGTTAGTTAGCGTCAAATCAAACAAAACAGAAAACAGAAAACTGCTTCCGAACAAAGGGATTGATTGTTACATATAGTGTCTGTGATAAGCCGTTGATGACGCACAAGACATTGTGGATATCTTTTTCTTTCCACAAAGGAAGTCAACCGATCTACAAATCCAAAGGGAAAAGAAGATTCGTCGACCACGAAGGCTCGCTAGCAAATAAGAGGGGAAAGAAGAATCACTGAGCTAGGAGGCCTGCTGGGTTGATACTTCAAACGCTGCTTTGTATGACCTTTCGATTTCGTCACTCCATCCCAGTGCCCCCGACAGCCCAGGACATATCATTTTTGGCGCCATTGTAGATCTCCTTATTCGATATTCTATTGCTAAGTATGATAGACAACTTTGTACCAGTTATCAAGTTCCGACAAGACAAAGAGAACCAGAAAAACGGCAACGACGCTCGGGAGTGCCGAAGATGTAAGAAGAGGAAAGCGAGTAGAGAGTTTCACCGGGACTGGTGGACAAACGACCAAGGCCGGGAGACGTACCGACGCACCTGCCAGGACTGCCGGGGCTTACCATTGCGACTGCCAGCCGTCGGCCAGCCAACCGCGGCCGAACTCGCTCCACCGGGCGAGAAAGCCATTTCGGGCCTCCTCGGTACTCTCAGTCGTCAGGTCTTTCTCGACCTCACCAATGACCCTTCCCGGTTGATCCGGGAGCGGATCTTCGACCACCTCCGCCTAAGCTCACTTGTCGACAGCGACCACTCTTCGCCTTCCTCCTTGGGCTGTAAGCTTTGCCACCCTACATCTTGAATACTTTGAAGCTATCCATGTTACATATCATTTTTTCCTGATTACATATGTTTTCCAATAAAAGCTCATTGTTTGTCTCGGGCCGATGCTTGGGGGACGGAAAATCGTGAGCTAGGCGGGCCGCAGACGGCAGCCAAAGAGGACCGGCAGCGCACCGAAGACCTTGAGCAGAGGTCAGAGAACCAAAAAGAAGAATCGCTGGGGTCCGAGCCGCCCACTCGACCGTATAACACTTCGGAGTGCGTGAGTGACATCAGTTCCCCGGGATGCGACGCCCGCTCAACCGGGACTAGGAACCTGCCCAAACTCGAGCGGCCAATACACAACCAACTGTGGCCCGCTACTCCTACATTCAGCTTCCGAATGGTCGTAGGCGCCGATCAACGATCCAACGACGGTCTAGATGATCCAACTTGCCCGAATGGGCTCCACTAGGATCCCTAGACGCTCACGGTTCCAAAGTGAACTTTGAACGCTTCAGTACACAGTATAAGGCCCTCAAACTTTGATGCTTGCTTAGATGATTTCATTGCTGTCCCTTTTTGCTGTAGAAGACTTTGACTACCATTTTTATGTATCTTTGAACTTAAAAAATAGGCTGACTTGGTGATTAAAAAAATGAAAATAAAGAGTAGTCCCAAATATGATAGGCCAGCTAATGACCAGAAGCCTTCAGCAAGTGCTTGCTTTTCCATGGCTCCAAAACTGTGAGATTGCTAATTAGGTTCAATCATCACTCATTTTTGGTGTATCACTTCAGGAACCTTAAGCACCTGCGTATAATCAGGAAAAGCAATGCTCATTCTATATCACAGGTGAAATCAAGTAACAATGATGACTACTCTGCTGTAGCTCCAGCTCTACTTCAACCCAACTACAATGGCCCCTGCAGGAGTCTGAAACAGATTTGATCAAGATAAGTAATGGGAGGCATGCTGAGCCTACCCTGATGCCACCTGTCATCCAGTGACCACTTTTTTCCTGGTGATAATTGACTTATTAATTTTCAAGATCTAATCTTAAAATATATAGGCCTAGCATTATCAAAACAGACCACCATTTCATACTGAGTCATCCAAGAAGAATGCTATTGTGGGATGCCTCAAAAAGGCAGTGCTCATACTTAGGAAATTCAAAGTTGCATTGGATTTTCCAAAATGATAAATCTGGAATGAAATTTGGTAGGGATTGCATAAGAAAATGCTTGAATAATCTCTTCCAAATGTCAGTTCTGATATTAAAAAATTCCAAATTGATTACAGATCATATTTGTCAGGCAATTGAATTCAAATCCATATTATTGGTAAAATAAAACCCCAATTCAAAATGCCAACACATGTGTTTGATCAGTTTCATGGTTGATATGGGGTAGTGCTCAAATACAATAGATAAAAACTTTCCTGGTTTTTTATTGGCCCAGTCCAATAAAATACCCATCTTTGCTTCCTGAAGTACTGGGTTGACCAATAGAATACTCAGTATTGGTATTGGATCTTCTAACCTAGTGGAAGTAGGTTATTGGTATAATCTGATTTGTATATAAGCATCATATTTAGGAGCAATAAAATATATCCATTGAGATGTCTTCATATTGGCTAGATTAATACAATACTTAGCTATTGCCTCCTTGAGCCAATACAATTGGCATTTTCAGGCAAATGATTATTGGATGGACAATACAATCCCCACAAAGAGATAGGTATCTGATCACATTGTATTGATTCAAGTTCTGGGTGTTGGTGTTGTGACATGGTCAAAGTGCTCAAAAGTTACACATGTCACATGTCATGGATGCATTCTTTGAATAGGATTTTCATTCCTTAGTATTAAAAATCAATTCTCTCTCAAGTTCTCGCTCCAACAGTTGGTAACCTCAGCAAGTTCTTATCAATAAGAAGCAGAGTTTTCATTAGAAAGTTTAGCGCCTTAATCTAAGACTAAGATGATGACCTTACACATCATCATACCCAAGCAGGTTTTCAGGTCTTTATTAGACATATCAAAAATCATCCATCTGTGCCTGCTAATGTTGTAATACTGATGCAAAGCTCTTAAATCAATTGAACTGCGAGATTTTGAATCTTAAATGGGGGAGCTGCAGTGACAAAAAATAATTGGATGGCATTCAAAAAGGGTTGTTTCAGCTACAACCCCCCATGGCAAGGTTGAGTCGTTGACTGGAGGTGACAGATGTAAGGTTGGTCTTCCAGACGGTTTTAATATTGGTTGGGCCCACCAATACATTACAAGTATAATGGATTAGTGGGCCCAGCCAACATAAAATTGTTCTGGAAGATCAATCTTACATTGGTTGCCTCCAGTTGACTATACTTTGGGGGTTGTTTAACCAATACAAGTTCAACCCCTTTGGCAGTGATGCTGATTTTTTGCATCATGTTTACTTGAACTGAACTACTGAATACTGAATTTTATTTATTTTCTTACATGTTTTTGTTAAGATTTTGAATGCCAAACCCATTCTCAACCCTTCTGAGAGAACTACCTACTAATATTTAATTAAAAACTTGGATTTTAGGGAATCAATCCATTCCATTCACCAAGCTTAATAAAATCTTGAAAGCCTTGTCAACTTTCTTTTCAAGTCACTTTGGGATCTGGATGTGAGATCTTGCCTACTGATGATAACATTAAGGATCTTACGCCCTACTAATGTCTGTGAAATCTCACTGAGAAGGGAATGTGAACCCTCTCCCCCTGTTACTGTTAGACGCGGAACCCGCGGGTGTTTTGTAGAGTGCGGGGGTTGGTGGCGGACCGTGGTGTGACATGGTTTGTGAAATCTTGGCGGGAGAACTAGCTTAACTAAGCCTCTCGATCGGAGGGTCGGGGGGCCGACCCCGCGTCCCGAAGGGACGCTCTCCGAAGGAGAGGCTTATGTGTAAAGTTCGGGCTGTCGCCCGAGTACATCAAATTCTTAGTCTGCAAATGAGGAAAAATGACTTCAAAAATTAATTAAAAAAACTCCACAACTCCTTCTGATAAGCCATCTCGTCCAGTCGTGCCTTACCTTCTCAGTCGTCTTTTGTTTTTTTTTTTGTAAAATTTGGACCACAAACGGCTGCACGCCGCCCATTTTTGTAAGGGCACTTTGAAATGCCATCATGTACACTTTTTTGACCCTGCGGATTCTGCTTGGGTCGGATCAATAAGAGTCTCACGGTTTTTTTGCTATTAGCTTAGCAGCTTAGCGTATTATTGAAAAATTTGAAATCCAGTGTTGCATGCAATTGAGTTCAATGCTGAATAGAGTACTTGGACAACTCTTTTCGAGTAAAAATTCTACTTGCCACAGTACCTACTGACTATTAACGGTTTTTAACAGTACTTACGATTACTAGACCAAAATGGCGATTTTTAAAGAAAAGCGTGGCAAAAAGGTGCACACTCCAACAACTTCATCAATAAAATCTACGCGAAATCCACCTAAACGGGTCATTAAGAAAACAACATCCCATCCCCCAAAACAACTCAATACCGGCGTGACGATCTGCAAGAAACTGATGAATGCAAATGATGATGCATTGAAGAAGGAGATAGCATCACGAGCGAGGAATTTCTACAACGGCGAAGAAGCTAAGACCCTTCAAATCGACGTCGTTGCCAACCTTGCGCGAGGCCGGAACACTTTTCTGTTGGCTGGGACCGGGTATGGAAAGTCGAGAATATCTGAAATGTACTTCAAGCTCTTACCTCAAAACACGAAACCAGTTATCCTTGTTCTGAACCCTTTGGATGCTTTGGGAGAGAACCAGGTGGCAGAGAAACAAGGCAAGTTCTCTGCCATCAATCTGACAAAGCTTACTTTCAATAAAAACGAGGCGGATAAAATTCAGCGGGGCGATTACAATTTCGTGTATCTCAGTCCAGAGATATTCATGAACAACAAGCTTTGGGATTCAATATACTTCAGCACTGAGTTCCAACAAAGACTTGCGTTAGTAGTGGTGGACGAGGCGCATATGATCTACCTCTGGGGTCTTGTGGAGAGTAACGGAAGAAGAGTCAATGCCGTGTTTATTAGACTTGAAGACGTTGGAATCTTTTGACCGTCTTATGGAAAACTAGCGCTACACTTACAATCTCGAAATAACGCACCTTTACTTATGCTTTCAGCTACTTGTCGACCTGTGGCAATTGATGCCATCTTGAAAAGCTTGAAACTTACCGAGGATCTAATCGACATCAAGCGAGGCGAATTGAGTCGGAAAGAGATTCGCATCATTCATATCAAAATGGACTGTTCTTTGCAATCGAGTTTGGACCTACTGAATGTTTTCCCCACGAAGCAAAAGACCTCAGATGAGGATCTTGTCCCAACTTTGATCTACAGTGGAACTCGTGCGCGGACGTTTACGGTATTGCAAGTGCTCGATATGGCTCGCGGGACGCCTCAGAACTGCTTGGATCCAAATAATACACTGGCAAGACGATTCCATGCGTGTACCGGCGATAAAGATAAAGTAGATGTGGTGGAAGGGTTTTCTAAAGGGCAATTCCCAATAATATCCTCGACCATGGCACTTGGACTTGGTCAAAATTGGAAGCGTGTTCGATGCGTTATCCACATGGGCCGGGCTGATCCTGAAAATGTAATGCAGATGATTGGAAGGTATGTTTTATTAGACTTTTTACTAGACTCCCATCTCATAATGATTTTAAATATATTTAATTATCTTCTTCTGGTGTGCCAGGTGTGGGAGAGATGGGAAGGACGGTCTGGCGATCCTATTTGTTGAGGGAAATCGCAAGGGTGGAAAAAATGCAATCAATGATTTTGTTAATGTTCAGAATCAATCCGACGACGATCGTATGGATGCACTTGCAATTACTCCTGTTTGCCTTCGGGTTGCCTTTGCAATTGACAATAAACATGGCTATATACCACTTTCCAAGACGGATTCAAACTACATTGCCGAGATCGATCGCGAGAAGTTATGTCAGTTTCCTCCATGCAGATGTTCAAACTGCAATGTCGAATCAGGAATGAAATTAATTGAAAATCTGAAGGAATTATCTATTCACAACTTCGATGATGCAATGAATGATCGGGCCGAATTTACTCATGTGTCAAACGGCCAGACTTCTGTCAAGAGAAAGCAAACACGATGTGGGAAAACATTGTTGGGGGGTGAGGCCGGTAAGGAAATTGTTGTTAAATTCAAAGAGTGCTTGCTCTCATCATTCCGGGAGTACTACAATAATCGGAAGGCTCGCTCGTGTCGGTTCTCTGCTCATGATGTATTCCGAGAGGAACATGCCGATGCGATCATTGCGAATTTGGACAATTTAGACGACTTAGATTCTCTAGAGAGAATAGTTGGGGGCGAAGTCATAGAGGGACAGATTGAATTTATACTGAATTCAATTGCAAGTTTTAAAATCGGTTCGGACTACCAAAATCATCTCAAGAATCAGGAACGACTAAAGGAGGAAGTGGAGGAGGCTAGGAAGAAGAAGAGAAGGGAATCGGCGGCTCGGTATCGCGCAAAGAAGAAGGCGATGTTGGAGGAAGCTCGAGCGAAACAACATAAATCAAATTAACAACTAGAATTCGATCAGATGTAACCCTGGGTCTGGGTCTCCTTGTGGAGACGCTGGTATCGCGGCGTCTTCTTGTTGATCTGTGTTCAGTTCTTGCTTTTCTTGTTCTTCAATCTCGATCTCGGTTGCATGTTTTTGAACCATGTTTTGGTTTGTTTCACCATGGGGGGCATCCCAGAAGAAATGCAATTTGAATCGAGCTAACTTTCCAGAAGAAAAGTCCCTCTGGAGCACTTTCAGTCCTTCAAGTAGGTAATCTTGAGTGTCAGGGAGAGATTGATTTGTATGCTTATGATATCTATCGGTGATATCCTCATTGCGAGCCATGCGAACAAACATTTCGAGAGAACGGGTGGTGATATGATTTTTGTGAGATTGATGAATCAAGCGCCCACCTCTTTCCATCCTGAGGCTGAGGAACATAGACCGAAGCTGTGATGGAAAGTCAGATGAAATGTTGGCCTTAGAATTTCATAAAAATTTATGTATCCTAATTACTGACCAAGTTCATGTTCAATGAAAACATATCTCGCAATCTTGCAACCTGAGTACCAACACCAGTTCAATTGTAAAAGTATTTGAGAGAGTAATTTTGCAACTCCAGATAGTAATCTTTGGCCACAAAATGGTTTGCCCGGCCACTTGGCGATATAAGTAGAGTGTGGAGGATGTACTTTCGCAGCGAGGGAGGAAGAATAATCTGGAGGAGAAGGACCATGCGAGGGAGGTATGAACGATAGTTGACAAGTCCTGGCAGTGCTTGAGACATGATCGACCAGAGTTTCCAGACATTCATTAATCGACCCACGTCTCCTGCTTTCATGGCACGATTTGCCTCCACAACCGTTGAGAAGTCATGCAATCGAAAAAGGAATGCATGAAGTTTTGGTGTTTCGTCCTTTGACGCAGCTTGACGCGCCTCAGGTGAAAAGAACTGATTGTAACACGCTTCGACTATTGAATTCCACTCGTTCGTTTCAATAGTTGATGTCGATTCGTTAATTGGCTGGTTTTCTGACCCCATGGTTAAACTAAAACAATTTGTTATCAGTCAAAGGCTCATGACAAAATATCAAAAGCAACAAGCTTACCGAAGGCAGTAAAAAATGGAGGCCTCATGGGCTTTTTCAATATGGTTAATCATAGCGGTAAAGTCCTTCTTCGGGATTGCCTTCTCCGAGGGAATCCCTAGTGCATGTAGGTACTGCCAAGTACCTAGATCATTTGACCGTGTTGTGTCTCCAAAGTGAACCGATAAGATCGTTTGTGCGATATTCCACAAGATGTGTGATGCTCCCAGCTGAAAACAGACATTATGAAGTCGATGATCAGCGTAATTGCTTGGTGTGCGAACCGCCCGGATCGAATTAAAGTTCTGAGACGTTCCAAGGTCTCCGTCCATGAGTTGGAGTCGTGAGCAAAACTCTTCCGGTGTCAGGCCAGTTTGATTGAGTATTGTTTGAACAACTTGTCCAAATCCCTGGGCTGAGTTGTCTGAAGCGTCCATTAGCTTCAGCATCTGGATTTTCGGAGGAGACGGATCAAGGACATCTATTGGAGGCGGGTTCATTGGAATAGCAGTCTGTTTATGTAACGGTTGAGCAATGTAATGATACATGACTCGTGCAATTTGACTTTTAAGAACTGCCTCATAATGCAAGTCCTCTTCTACAGTTGGCATGAGAAGAGACGGTCGAAGTTTCAAATTTGGGATATTGCTAAGTGATTTGTAATATGAGTCTAAGGTAAGTTCATCGTGATTCACTGTCGCTAGAAGAGATCGTGGTGGGTGATGAATGTAACCCCAGGTGCCATGAAACATCATCGATCGATGGCCGACGGAATGTGTATGAACCCGCTGCTCCATATCAAGATTGTCTATACATATACTGGGGCCGAGCGGAAAACTTTTATCAAGCTTCATCCCTATCTTGAGGTCACGCGCCGAACGAGAAGATAAAATGGTAAGAGTGGTGATTGCGGTTTGTCGACACGATGTAATTCCGATGAAGTGAAGATAATCGTTCATCTGCTCACTCAGGCCAGCAGAGACAAATCGGATGCTATTGAAGAGCTGCAGGCCATTGTGTCTGCGGTTCCTAGCAAATGAGACCATTGAACAAACAGTAGAAGCAATCTGTTTTTTTTGGTCCAATCAGCAATGATTTCAAACCTAAAAAAACGAGGTATGGAAAATTAAAGTGAATCACCTTAGATTTCCGATCGACTAACAAAGGGTCGGATTCAAATGAGGTCTCTTCAAGCTCCATTAGTCGGTCTGCATCCGGATCGTCACATTGATGAAAATTTCCTTCGGTGTCATCTTTGTTGCCGTTGCTGTCGTTCATCGTTTGCTTTAAAATTGTGAACAGGAACGGCATGTGTTCTTCACTGAGTAATCTCTCGCGTTCCAAAGCTGCTTCGTGTGTAAAAAACGACGGTTCAACATCTTGGCTACTGTAAAAGGAGCCATCAGGGTAATAGCCGCTTGGAGGGTTCTCTTGAAGTAGTATTTCAACCGTCTTTGCATAACAAACAAATAGCAGTTAGTTAGTTTGAGCAAGCATGAATACAGAAATAGATAAAGAGGACAATACAGTTACCTCATTGCTAATGAATTCTTTCCAGCTTTTGGAACCTGAATGTGTGCTGGTTGTCATCATCTTAATTGCATGAACAACCTCCATAGTACTCTTCAGCCCAGTTTCAGTGCGCCAGTATCGTCGTCGGTAAGCAATATTAGGATCGTTTGACTGGAGAAAAGCGATGATGAATTCTTTGGGAGTCATTTTCATCTTCTGAAGTTCACGGCAGATGTGAAGGACTTTCTCGGCTTCCGTGCGTGTTGAGTTAACATTTTCAGAGATGTCGTCTGTTTCGCGGATGTCGTCTGTTTCGCGGAGATTGCCTAGCTGTTCCATTTTCTTGTGTCTTTGTATTTCAGTTGGTTGGTTCCAGGCTGCTTGTATTAAGTTGAATCTTTTGGTGTTGTTGTACGGTTTGATTCAGACTATGAAATGAGTACAAAGTAAAGTTCACATAGTATGGTTGTAGTCAGATACATATCTAATAGGTATGGTGTTGGATACGTATTGTCTTTTGAAGAAAGCTTGGACAGATTTCCGAGTTTGCTGTGCCAAAATCATGGCATTCTATGATTTTGAGTTTAGTTTTTTTTCTCTTTTTTTCTCTTCCTTGTGAAATGATTTTGATGACCACAATGATTTCCACTTCGGAGCCCCAAGCTGTGCTTCATTGGTATCGTGGCCTGTAGGCTCCAGCCTGCCAGCAGAAAACCAGCCAACACACCAGGAAGGAACCAGTTTTCCTGTTTTTTATAGCCACTGTTACGAAAATGTCTCGCTTTGGTCTTGATCTCCTAGGAAGAGAAAACCCACCGCCGGGTTACTATTCTGCTTCCGAATACTGGCGGATTCAGGGGGTTGGTGATCAACCTGTCAACTTGACGGTATGCTTGGTTGTTTTTGATTTTTTGGCCTGCATGGACTGATTTTTTTTGTTTGGTACAGGTCCAGATGGTTGATTGCCACACCAGCTACAAGCTGTTTTCCCCGAAGGATGCCTCAAAACCTCAGGGCGCTTGGAACATGATAAAATCCAAACAACCGTTCCTAATCTCATTCCCTGCGGTATCCACTAGTCTTGATCAATTTCGAGATATTGTGGCTAAAGAATGTGAGAAGCAGTTTGAAGGAACTGAGGCGGCGATTCAAAATGCTATACGATTTGGATCTCCACACATCGACTGGAAGATCTCGATGAAGCTTCCAGCAGCCGATGAGTTTCTCAAGCCGGCAAAATATACCGTCAACGACGAAAATTCGTATTCTCACTGGATTGCGACCATTGTCGACAATGGGAAGGACCACACAGATGTAGTCTTAGAAGTTGCGATGGTCAACCCGACAAGCTTAAAAAAAGACGAGAAGGTGGCTATCGAGCTGAAAAAGCACAACTTGAAGCAGGCCGCTGCCCAACAAGCTTCCTCATCCAATCCATCGGTCAAAGCAAGCGAATTCGATCCCATCAACATTCTTGCCAACAAGATCTATGCGACTCACCCGCCGAACGTCAAATACCAGCCTAAGTTGCCGGTCTTCATTCATCCAACCGATCGCAATCAATACATTCCCTTAACTGCCGGAAATGTGCAGAAATGGGCCACTGCCCTTGTGAGTAGCAATGATCTTCCTCATCCTTGGACTGGTTCGCTAACTTGTGGCTGTTAGGTTAAACCCGACGACGGAGTGTCACTCCACTCCCCCCCAGCCGATATGAAGTTTGAAACGCTGTCTTCGGCAAAGAAGCGTAAGCTCAACGAGGGGTCAAGCCACCAGACTAAGAGCCCGGAGCCAGATTCTGAAAGCGATTCCGTTATCGATCTCGGAGTCAACTTACTCAACGAGTACCTCGAATTCGTCAAGATTCCACCTGGCGACAGGGATGGGATCTTGCACATTCTCACTGAGAACAAAGCGACCAATCCCCAACTTTTCCGATCCAAGAACATCACCCGCGAAGTGATGAAAGAATGGGGCTTACATGATGTTTTCATTGCCCAATTACAAGACAATGTGTTAAAATTCGAAAAACACATGTCTTCCCAATAGGTTATTGATTTTTTTTCTCTTCTTCACAATCTTGTTTTCAGCCCAATATCATCAATTTTACCAATTTCTGTACATTGGCCATCTCAACCTGAATCTATCAATATTTTCGATACTTATGATAGATTGCCACAAGACATCACATCATCCTGACCAATCAATCCTTACATCAAACCAACTATTTTAGCTTACCCCATCCATACTCGGCTTATTCATGTCTTTGCCTGATATGATTGATTTTCTTGACCTGAACAATCTATTAACACAATATCATATTTAAATGATCTTATCAATTTTTCAACTTAAGCTTTTCAGAATTAACACTATGAATAATTTGATCGGTCTTTGTAATATTTTAGCATGATCTTGGCAGTAAAAAGGTATAATTAAGTGTGTCATACACATGTTTGAAGCAATTCCAAACAAAAGGAATTGGAATAGTGGTTATTGATATGTAAACAACAGCACAAGACTCTAAAGCCAACCAAGGGGTGATCAAGCGATACAAAGGGGTTATGAGAATAGAATTGTAAGTTGATCAAAGAGACAAATAAAAAAAACTAAAGGAAAATACAAGCAGCATTAGTAGGGTGGGACACAATACCCACAATGCTTGTACAGTTTGTAACAAAGATCAGATACCATTACTTCAGCAGTTACTTGTCGGATTTCAAATTCAGGATCCTCGGTGCGATTGAGAATCTGTGAGGAGCGAATTTGCTGCTTAACTGCAGCAAAGCAAAGTTCGATGGGATTGAGTTCAGGACAGTAAGGAGGCAGGTACATTAATCGTACTCCAGCTGCATCACAAAGCTGCTGGACTCGCTTGCCGCGATGCCACGTTGCATTGTCACAAACCAGGACAGAGTTGGAGTCAGGATAACGGTTCATGCGAGGTAACTGTAGAACACAATGTCAGCTTGGTTTGTATCAAGCGAAGTAAAATTGACTTACCAAGTCATATTCTAGGAAATGCTCAAACCGAGTGCCGTTGTATGTTTCAAAGGTAGTTGTTAGTGCTACCAGCCCCTCAATTGATATCGCTGGGAGTAGACTTAATCGGGGTGGATTCTGATTGATGATATATCTGGCCGAGGGGGTCCCTCGCTTAGACCTACCAAACGATCGGAGCAAGTCCTTGTCACAGAAGGAACTCTCATCTAAACAAAAAACGCCTAAGCATGATGGCCAATCAAATTAATAAAAGAAGACAAACTGACCGGTAAAGACTAAGAAATCTGCTGGAAAAAATTCCATCATCTCGACGAATGTGTACTTTGCCACCAGCGACTTTCGAATGTTTTTGGTTTCGGGTTTCTTTAAGGTGATCGACAACCGTTCCACAAGATTCCGGTGGACTCCCTCAACACTGAGGAATACACCACTGGAATCGTACAACCGTTCTCGGATTTCGTCTAGAAAGAGTCCGGGTTCGGATTGAACAAGTCGAATCATGAATTCGCATTCGTCTCTGGAGAGGGTAGCTGGCCGGCCACGGGCCTCGTAACTTTCCGGGTCCTTGATTACGCATCGAGTTTCCTCATAGAGTTCGAGCCATCGTCCGAACGATTGTCGAGAAATCCCAACACCAAGCAATCGACAAATTTCCGGTAGCGCTAATCCTTGAAGCGCCATTCGAACTGTGGCAAGCTTGGTAGCCGGCTGGTGCAATCGATAGACCATCGTTATTATTGTCGTTGTCGGGTGAGTCGGGTGTGGTCAAGTGCGTAGGGATCAGGATCGATGAGCATCTGCCCCATCACAGCTCGGTGGAATGATGTGCGGCTGTGTGAGGCAAAAACCGCAAGATTAAACTGCTGCACAGCAGCCCAACACCATAACTTTAGTGCTTCGAAAATTTCGCTTTGTCCAAGCTTTATTCAAAACACAATATGTATAAATCACCAGATCAATCCGAGGGATTATCCGTGAATTATTTAGGCGGATTGTCAATAAAAAGCTGTTTATCCATCTCCTTAGTTACCAGCTCTGCCACGAGACCTGTGCCCTCAGGCTTGGCTCTAGGCCAAGAGATGGCAAGGATTTCAATGGTACAGGCGGCGAGTCCTGAATCTGAGTGGTTGTGGGGGATATTGGGGCCTGAGTGATGTCCCCAGCCAAATGGCTGGTCGCCCTCACGCCAGATGTGACACATTATATGCAAGTCCCTCCAGCGGAGGCGCTTCGCGCCTCCTTGGAGGAGGGGACTTGTGTTAAGTTAGGCGGGAGAAGTCAAGGGTGGTCTTCAAGTGCCAAGACCAAGAAGAAGTGCCAAGGCCAAGACCAACAAGATTATAGCAGACACGACGAAGAACCAGGATGAGTGCTTCTCAATCAAAAAATCGAACCAACCAGGAAGAAGAGGATATACCACCGATCAGTCCACTACTCGAACCATCCTACCAATATCCATCGAGAGATAACCAAATCAGAGAATTCGACTATGGTGACAGGGAGGATGTCTTAGCAGAAGCAGAAGAACTCGATTCAACGAACTCGCACTATCCACCCTCCTCAAAACGCTCAGCTAATAAATAATAACCATCATCATAATCGAACAACAACTAAAACCATTATCAATGCATTGTGAGTGACCATCCTCCAAATTGTACCCTCTCTATTATCGATGAGGTATTGAATATATCTGCATGACTTTAGATCTCTAGGTCTTCGGAAACATCGTACTAAGTTTCGTCTGCTCGTCGTCTTCTTGACTCTTTGGCCGCTACTCTGTTGGACGGGTGAGTACTGCTTGAGAAATAAATTTCAATCTAAAATGACTAGAGCCCCCACTCAATTTGATAATGGATCATATATACCATCATCATCATCATCGGATGCGAGATCTGACTTCAGGCGTTCGAATTATTGACTGTATCACACATTGGTTCCGAACTGACAGGAATCTTCCTTCTATTCTCCGACCATCCGGCGCTATTCCCCAGCTCATTAAGAGGCTCGAAATCCACCCTGTTCGTTGTTGCCCATCCGGACGATGAATGTTTATTCTTTGCGCCCTCGATCCTTGCTACCGTCCAACGAGCCAAATCCCATGGCGCACTACTTGTCATGAGTTCGGGGAACCATTATGGACAGGGTGGTCTACGGAGGAAAGAGCTCTTGGGAAGTTGTAAACAACTCGGAATTCGAGAAGATCGCTGTGATGTCTTAGATATCTCGTATGAATTCCTTAAGCTTGCTCTATTCCCCTTTCGAAATGACATCCAACAAGCTTTCTTTTACTCCTTACACTTAGACAGATACAAGACGATCCAACCAT